AAAAAAAAAACGAAGCTTTTATTTGTGTTTTAAAAATGGTTTACTTTTACACTTTTTTACTCTTTTTTTACACATTTTTATTTGGTTTAAATAAAATCTTTGCGATTGAAATGAAAGAAGGAGTCAACAATCCTCACCAATGTATCATTTCTATACAGCGCAGTTTTATTCTTTCTAAATTTTTTTTTTAAATTTTAATTTATCTTTTTAACTTTATCCGATATTTATTATAGATATACAACATCTGCATCAACTTACAGTTTTTTGGACATAAACGTTACACTTTTAAAAGATGTTTGGCAAAAATTTATTCATTTTTTTTTTCTTAGCCATATCAAGTTAACTGCTTTTCTGCTTAAAACGAGAAAAATAATTTTTTTCACACTTAACACATTTTTTACTTCAAACAGCAAAAAATTTAGGTTATCTGAAAAATACTATAGATAATGTAAGTTACTATGACTGGTTTTATATAGTAGTTTCATTTGATAATTTAAAAAACTTACTTTTTGTTCAAAATTACTCATTAGTTCTCAGCAGCTTGTTCTATTTTTATAGCTGCTATTCTAAGGTACTGAACCTGTATTTTTTCATCTGTTTTGGTTTATCGCCTATTTAAAAAAGAAAAATTTTATTTTTTTATCTTTATCAGATTGTATTTCTACCCACATCTTCTCGTCTTTCTTGTGCCAATTTTTCTGATTCGACTTCGTTTTTTAAATTTGTTAAACTATGAGTAAATAAGATTTAAAAAAAATATGTTTGTAACAGTTAACTGTTATTAAAATTTTTGCTAAAAAAAAAAAAAGCAGAACAGTTCAGAAATTTTGGTAGTCGGATTTATTAAAACATTTGCACAAAACACTAAATTTTGTAAGCAAACTCTAAATCTGCTCAACTGTCAACCATTAGGCCTGCCATCACTTCCATCGAAACATTCTTTTGTTCAAAGAAGGCAACATTGCATTTTTGAGAATTGTTGTAATAAAACAGCATTTTAGATCGGCAAAAATCTTTAGGCTTCATTTTGCTCCTCTTACTTTTTTCAGTCATATAAAACCAACTGTAGTCATCCCAGCAGCTACAGCAAAATCAGTTATTTTTGTTTTGCTATAAAATAATTATAGTTTTAAAAATACCCCGACATGAGAGGCACTGGATCTGCTAAGAAAAGTTTTTGAAAGTAAACTACCAGTTTTTAGTACTTATAAATGAATAAATATATATATCAATATATTATGTATAGTAAGGCTATTCAGCCGTTATTGGTTGGGAAAACTGTTGTATTTGCTAAAACGTGCTCTCTAAGAGTAAAATAGTATTTTACAAAAAAAAAAAATAATTAAGGTTCTTCGAAAATCTAATGTCGTCTTACTAATTAAAACTACATCAAATTTAAGTACTTTTTATTTTCATACTTTCAACGAACGTGGAAATTATTGACATTGTTATAAACTGATCGCGTGCTATGTGATATGCTACTTTTTCTGCTTTTGTTTTTGCAATAACAGTTAAAAAGGCTAGATGAAAATTTGATAAAAGAATAAACAGTATAAATTTTGAAATGACCTAAGCAGTTGAATAAAAGTGAAAAAAATTGCTTTTTAATCTGGGGTTTTATTTTATTTATTAGCTTTGACTGTGCGTATTTTCATTCTACTAAAATATCTTTTCAAGAGTTTAATATAGTCGTTTGTGTACAGCAAAGAAAGGTAACTACATGTTTCTTAATCTATCAAACACATTGAACAGTTTTAAAGATTCATTGTTAGCGGTCTGTTTTTTTCAAAAGAGTAAGAATTGAAGAAAAAGCCAACTATTTTTTTGCTTTTATTATTTTTGGTCACTGCTAAATAAAGAGAATTTTGAAATTTGAGTTTGATTCATTTCGAAGTCTAATTTTACCTGACAATAGCAGCAGCTGCAAAAAAAGATCCTGCCACTTAATGCAGTTGAATAAAAAAAATGGAGTAATGCGAAAAAAGAAAGGTAAAAATAAAAAGCTCTAATTTCAAAATGTTTTATCACTAATGAGTGGTACGTAATTTTTTTAATGCTATTCATTGATCA